TCCCAATGTTTGTCACTGGAGAACTCCGTTCGGATTGACATCCATCTTTTCAGCATTTGTAAAAGAAGAAGTCCCTTCAGATTAAATAGATTCGCGTGGAATTCTCTCAACATTGTTCAATTTCTCCTGTATCCAAACCTTCTCATGATCTTACTCAGAGTACATCACGGTTGTTCTTCGAACAGCTTCACATAACTTACCAAAAGCCTATGCAAATACTTAGGAGATTCTTCGGCAGATCTACATTCATCATACAGAAAATCATGTATCCTTAAGGTTTCCTAAAAAACATAGGGATTAGGTTTGATATTTTGTTGTTCAACGATTCGATATTCTTCTCACAACACGTAGATAGAATCTTCTCTGATGTTCATATAACTGATCATTCTGCCAAAAAGATTCTGAATTCTTGCAATTCTGAATAAAATTCTCAGATCTCTATGTTTTTCTATCAAAAACTTACATGGAATTAGTATTACTCTTTCTTGGAGAACCTCCTTACAGCAATTTCCAGGTGTTGTTTTTATGATCAAAAAGATCTTGGCAAGAACTAGAAGTAACATAGATGTAAGAATCGTTACCAGATCCTTTTTTCTCATAGGAAACTAAGAAAAGGCTTCTGAATTTTTATCTGCGAAACAAGCATTTTCAAAGATGAATGCCTTATTTCTAACGCTTGCTCTCACGAGAGACGGAATCCCTTCGATAACGACGATTTCTTTTCTTTTTTGTTCATTGTAGTAATTCCTAATATTCCAGCCGATGCACGATGGGCCCCGAGGGGAGTGACTGTTGCTGGAGGTCATGGACAAGGCAGTGCTACCAACCAACTCAACTACCCTTATGGTCTCTTCGTTGATGATGATCAAACGATAGTCATCGCTGACTGGTGGAATCATCGTATCATCCAATGGAAGATGGGTGATACGAATGGACAAGTTGTAGCTGGTGGTAATGGCCATGGAAATCGATTGGACCAATTGGATGAACCAACTGATGTGTTGATTGACAAAGAGACGGATAGTCTCATTATTTGTGATAACTGGAATCGACGAGTCGTACGATGGTCTCGTCGTAGTGGCACAATTCAAGGAGAAATCCTCATCGACAACATCAATTGTTGGGGATTGGCCATGGATGATCAGAGATATCTCTACATCTCTGACACCTACGAACCTGAAGTAAGACGATATCAAATAGGAGACAAGAATGGAACTCTTGTGGCTGGTGGCAATGGCGAAGGTGATGGCCTCAGTCAACTCAACTGGCCGACCTATATCTTTGTCGATCAACAACAGACTGTCTACGTGTCAGACCAAGACAATCATCGTGTAATGAAATGGAATAAAGGTGCAAAAGAAGGAATTGTCGTCGCTGGAGGTCAAGGCCAAGGGTATGCTCTGACACAATTGTCGTATCCTTACGGACTGTTCGTCGACACATTGGATACCATCTATGTGGCAGACTCGGATAATCATCGAGTGATGCGTTGGCCTAAAGGAGCGAAACAGGGCACTGTCATTGTGGGTGGAAATGGTTCCGGAGAAGGAGCAAATCAGCTCAACTGTCCCTATGGTTTGTCCTTCGATCGACATGGCAATCTCTATGTCGTCGATAATGGGAATAATCGTGTTCAACATTTTTCAACTGAATAGACTCAAAACGATGGATTATTTTTTTTGCGCTTCTTTCGTTTCAAATAAATCACATTGAATTGATGAAATGAATGGCTTATTCTATTCGCGCGCGCGCGACCAGGAACCATCCTGGTGGAGCCGTGGCGAGCGTAACGCTCATGCACGCACAGGACAGACTCATATCATTCATACCCTCCCCGCGAGAGATATGTCAATGAGTCTGCATAAGCCTGGTCGTGTGCCACGAACACCAAGACGATTCCTGGCCGAGCTTTTAGGGACTACCCGGAAGTCCTTCATAAGAGACGAAGCCCTAACCCTCAACGAACAGAACTCACCCTCGTCTCTCACTAACACTCACTTTTCTTAGTCTCACCCTAACCTCTCAATCTCACTACCTATTCTCATCTCAAAAAAAAAAGAATTACTTACCGTGTCTGATGTTGATGACGCGATGATATTGATAGCTGAAAGGAATAGAAAAAAAAATTTAATCAATGTTATTTAATGAAATAGAATGAGATGGCTTACCCTAACGTTATCTTTTTCTTCATTGTTTATTCCCTAAAATAAAAATAATAAAAAGATCAAAGGAGGTCTTACCTCACCATCCTTATGATCGTAAAATAAAAAAAAGAAAAAAAAAGTAAAACTGATACCCACATTTTTTTTTTATTGTATGGCTTGATCTTGGTTTGATTAATTTTGTATCATCGAGGCCAATCTAAAACAGAAAAAGAAAATTATTATTATTTGATTCAAAAATTTGAATGATTTTACATAGAAAATCATTCGTATTTATACCTTGAAAAATCATTTTTTTTCTCTCGTCGAAAATGATATACATATTTAATTGTATATGTTGATCATTGATCGTCAATGATAACAACATGAACAATGACTTATGGACGAGAGAAAGAAAAAAGAAAAAAAAGAAAATTCCTCTCTTCACATATATTTCTTTTTCTTTCCTTTCTCTTTTGTTAACATTAACATATATAATAATTTATTAATGAATTTTTTTAGATTGTATCTCATTTGGAATGAAAATGAAATTGTTTTGTTTATTTTTATTAATGATAATCAATAACAACATTTATGTATAATTATTTTATTTGTTATAATAAAATACAAAATATATTACATCAGACGAACTATTACTTAAGTAGACATACTTAATGTTAAAAAAGTTGATTTAATTTCATAGACTATCGAAAAAAACAACACGATGGAAGTTTTTAAATACTTAAATTTTTACAATAATATTCTTTTTGGATGAACATATCTAAATATCAACAAAATTTTAGATCAAAATAATTCATTACAGAAGTTTGAAAAAATCTTTCTTTGTTAGGTGGATTTATTACAACCGAAAAAAATGAAACAAGATATATTCTTCTTTTGAATAAAAATTTATTTATATCGACATATCTATTCTATACACATCAAGATCAACAATTTGTTATTTATGTACAAGTATGTATTAATCAATAAAGAAAAAAGATTAAAAAATGTATATATAATAATGTTTTTAGTGATTTGGAGAATTTTATGTTTAATGAATAATGTTGATAAATCCATGTGAACAATTAATTTAACTAATAATTAAACAACTACATCGTCAGATTTCTTCAGTATTATTATTTTCATCATCAGCATATGATCAATAGTCCATTGCTTGATTTATTATTCAATACAACTATTAAAACGAAAATATGAATTAATACTATACCAGATTCGGAAACATTTTAATATTAATAAAAATGAGTATGTATTAGATGACAATATTGTTATAAAGAATAAAATATTAACATATATAATTAGTATTTAATTGGAATGAAATATAAGAGAAATCGAATGAAAATTAATATTAATTTTACAATTTTATTAAATATTATTCAAGTAAGATAATTATTCAATGAAATATATTTTACTAGTTAAGAAAAAAAAATTATAGCGTTTGTTGGGTTACTTGTGAATATATTCTGTTGTTAATAGACTCGACCAATGTTATTATCGCAAAAACTATATTTGCAAAAAAAAGCATCATAAAATGATTAAGTACCAACAGACTCGATATTTTTCCAAGATTTTTACTGGTCATATACTTAAGAAAAAAACTATGCATACTTTTTCTATAAACATCATTTGATTGTTCGATACGATAGCAAAGTCTGAACACAAACTCGCTTCTCAGCAATTAAACAATAGTTTTCAAAAAGAAAGCATAAATCTTTTTCTGCTTGTTTATCAGTCGAATAAAATCATTAGAAAGAAATTATTGAGTGTAACGAGATTTGATACATTTGACGTATTTCAATTTTCATAGACTATTATGGAATTCTTCTCGTACTAAACCAGGATTGCCAGATCGAAATGTTTTAACCAAAATTCGAAAAAAATTCGGATTTTTTTATATTCTACTTCGGAAAAAGTTCGGAAAGCAGTTGTTTTACTATCAAATATATATACCACCTTTTTTATGGACATGTGTGTTGATCACAACATTTTGTGCAAAAATTGTTGGCGATATACTTATTTCTTTCTTCAATCTCACTTAAATTCACATTTGAATCATCATCTTCATCATTCATGGCTGAATTTAATTCAGGATAACAAGAGACAATTTTCATTTAAAATACACTTTTTTAAACTTAAAGTTCAGTCCATGTCAAAGAAGTTATTGATTCAAATGACATTTTTTTTAAACAATACAAAGTATTCATTAAGTTCGGATAGATTTTAAACTCTAACGATCTTACATTATAAATAGTCTCAAAATTGTATTATGGAATGATTACAGTAGAACAACGACAGCGTATGAATTCCTAATGAAAGTTAAATTAAAAGTTATAACCAAAGTCATTAAATCTCGAATCTAGAGAAATAACAGGTCTCGAAAAAATATTCAAAATTCGGAAGATCTGGCAGCCCCGTACTGAACAAATCATTCATATTGTACAGTAGCGTGCGACATAGGTCAAAAGTCTTGTGATCCGATTGGAGTCAGGCACTTATTGGATTTTAATTGCAACAGTGATGGACTAGTTGAATTTTCTTGGATTACATTAACTCATCTATACAGATCGTTACTTTCATTTTAGAATGAACTATTTTTTTGTAATCAATTCCAATATTACTTTAATATAACTTTTATTTTGTTTTTCTAATAGATTTTAGAAAATTTTATGTTAAAACAATGGAATCGATTCATACATTAGATAAAAAAAAAGAATCCTCGTATTTATGCTTATCTTAATGTAATTTTATTTCATTGAATAGATAATGTAAAAAATAAAAATTATTTCGAATAGATTCGTGAACATAACATTGAATTAGGTGAACAATATTGAGCTGTATTTAATGATACGACTTATTCAACGTTCACTTAAATATACATCAATAAAACATATTGATTATCAATTATTAATTGATTCATTGGGTAAATTACGTGAAATAGCAAAAAAAAAATTAAATGAACAAAGTAGAAAAACGGAAAAACATTTATCAATGTTTAATATTGTTCATATTATTGATAATTGTTGAGTAAGAAAACGATTCCGACAGTATTAAGTACGTTTTATTGTCGTTAAATTTTAGTCAGAGTTTCTTGCTGCACATCATGATTATATAGAAAAATTTCAAGTTATTGAACTTCAACAAGAATTAACAACAATACAACTACATTTAACTCGTTTTCTTTTCTCCGATTGTCTTGAATATATGTGAAAAGCATTCGGTATGAAAATATATTCCACTTATTCAATTGGTGAATATTCAAAGTTTATTTGATATTAATCAATCATCATTAGCAATTGATGATAAAATTATTGACTGTTTTTGTTTTTTGTGGAACTCACATTACGTCTTTCTTTTCGAAGAAAAATAGAATAAGTGTAAGTTTCAGAGACACGCGACACAACAATTTGGACGTTTGCTGAATTCTTACTCATCATATTTTCATTAGAATTTATTTCATATTTCTCAAGGCATTCTGATGGTGATCGTTTATGAATGAGTCATTATAGACTTTTATCTTAAGAGTGGCAACTATGAAAGATCAGACCCATACTCAACGAGCTCTATCGAGAACTACGAGAAAAGTAGTTATCCCAACTGCAACTGAAAAATATAATTAAATATTCTATGGCTTTAAGTGTATAAGTAAAAAACATGAATATTGAAAACCTTTTTAGATGTGATAAGAGTCAATTCTGAAATAGTTTTCTCTAGACGGAAACACACCCTCGTATCCTTTTTGAGTGATGATGAAGAAAATTCGCCTAAAAGAAGTATAGAGACTCGAGTATGGAAAAATATGAAACTCATAGTAATTTTAAAAGCTAAAAAAACGGGTAAAATCTGAATTCTTACGCATTTCTTATGGTCTAGTAAAATTTTTTCACCTCAGGTATTTTGTATGAATATAATGAGAGTAAAAATATGTGGGTTCTATATTTTAGTTCTTAACAAGTTGTATTGACCCAATCTCTATTTTTATTTTATAAAATTTTTCTTATTAAAGAAACTGAAAAATTCAGAATACTTTGTTCAATT